CCGCAACTCATAAGTCACATGCCTCAACCGAAGATGACTTCGTCCCGACCATAGGCCGTCTGTGGTGTGGAAAACGCTGATTCACCCACCCATTAGTCTTGTGGAGGCAGGAGCCTCAGAATAACAACAGCAATAAACATGCATTTTCGTGCGCTTCTCGCTAAGTCAATGGAGTGTGAGATTGACATAGTTTTTTATCAGACTTATATGGTGCCACGTTCAGATGGTTCACTGAACGACGAAAACTCAGACAAACTCTTCAGCTAAAAAGGAACACAATGTATCAAGCCGCCAACTCTTCAGTCAGCTAACTCACCTCTCAGATGACTCATTTCTCAGATAACTCATCTCTTACAGATTAAAAGGAGCAAAAAAAAACGAAGAGAAAATTCAGACAACTCATATTCAACTTCGCCCAAGATTATCAGGGGTCTTGAATAAGTTGCTTCAGCTCATTTCTTCTGTCCTCGCCTGTGATACTTAAGAAAAATGCAGATAACTCAACTCAGAAAACTCACCCTCAAGTTGATTGTGGAACATACAGATATGGATGCTCAGTTTATAAAGATCTGAGTATCGTAGCAGATAACTCAACTTACATTCGATCGGAAAACTCATTTAACTCAGAAGACAACTCATCAAATCTACACAGCTAACTCGACGGTACCAACAGAGACACTCCATCTCCAATAAACAGACTTCAGATGATCGACAGACCACCACGATCATCAACAAAGACGTTGCTGATGGGGGGAGAATGTTCTGACTTGGTCAGGCATTCTACCGACGGCCTAACATTTTTCTCCCCACCGAATAATTAGATGAATCAAGGTCTCTCCTGCTGACTCATTTTCGCCAATTAGACAACTCTAATTAATTCCTAGGCGTATATATCCCAAATAATCAATTTTTTTAATATGTTATTGAAGAATTTGATTAAATTAACTACAATATTTGTAAAAATTACTCTCTAGTCAAATAAATTGTACTATAATTTATCGTAAACCTCGAGTCTCTATTGATGAGACATTTCTAGTAAATTTTGCTTGACTCGACGATCATCCGTATAAGTGAAAGAGTTTCTAGAAAAGTTTTCTAGAATTCTAGAAATATGGTCATGACTATTTTCTCCGTGTAGTGGTAAATTGGCTGAATATCTATCTGATACTCATTCTTGAGCGATTGAAATTTTTTCAAAATGACTTTTGATTGCATTGATTTCAAGTATAATAAAACTTTAATACCTCCATCAATATTTTTATTAAAATCGAAGAAAATTTATATAGACACGTCACACGATAAAATAAATTAAAACTTGCCCCGCAATAAGATGAGTTTTCTTCGGAAATCTTTTCTGTATAAGTCATCCACAAAAAACAGACATCTGAGGATGTCGGTAAAAAATGGCGCCAAGCCCACATTTAAATGATCATAGTAAGTCATCAGTAACACATGTATTTTAAAATGAAATATCTTTCTACATCTCCTTATAAGAATATATTTTTTAAGAAATTAAGCCAAAATTAATATTGAAGCCGTACAAATAGCAGTAATTTATCTACAGATTAATACATTAGCTTCTTGAAAGTTTTTCGTTCTTCATTGATCGATCTGTTACATTGTTTTTCTATTGTTTATGTATTACATAGATCTTCATCACGTGTTATCGTGAGGTTAACTAGGGATTTTTCTAAATGTGAAAAGACATTTGACACTTTGATTCAAATAAAGACATAAATATGTATAAAATTCGTTTATGTCTCTTTAATTTTATGTGAAAAAATTGAATTGAAAGAGTTTTACAATTAATAAAAAAGTGATTTAGTACAACTTTAAATTCTGAAGAGGTTGTTCTCTAGCGTCCAAATAAGAATTTAACGAAATTAAGACTATTTTTAATTTTTTTTTAATTCATATACACCTAATGTTGATAGCATTAGTTGGTCAAAATTTTCATATTGTAAAATCGTAGATAATTAAAATAGCTATGAAATGACTTTTTGATCACGTTTCTTCGTGTGGTACTAGATATTCTGGTGGTTTTCATCAGCCTTATAAGATCAAAATATAGACCTAGAATGTAGAAGATCATTATACATAAAATTCAGAATCGATCGGTGTTAGTAAAATTTATAAAACTAAAATAAGTGAAACCGTAAATAACAAAGCGAAGAGGATAGAATATAATTTGGGTACATAACTTTGGAATTAAATGATTTCCATTTTATTAATATAATTAATTAGTCCGATAATTGAAATAAATAAGTTTACTTTGCATAAATATCATACATAAAATAATTAAAGCCATTAATTATAAGAAAAGAAAAACACTTAATGAACTTGACTATGAAGAAACCGTAGAGTAATTTAAATTAGAACGCAAACATGAACAACAATCATTAACCATTGTTAAAAACAAGACGCAAACATTTATGAAATATTAAGTGACCACACGGAAAGAAGATTCTATAGACTATTTTGATAAAAATCTATAAAAAATGATGATTTCTGAAATGCTAGACATGGTCAGCATTCTATAAAAATTTATAAATTAACAATGCAAAACTTTTGAAAAACGTACCAGAAATTCTCTACTCCTATCCTCATTAAAATAAACCTTTTATTCAACATCATTTACTCTCAAAGAACAAATTAGTGAATATTCACTGTTTCTTCATGACATCTAATGATTTACACTAATTTATTTTCAGGAATTAGGATCTAACTTTTAGATCTTGAGTACATTCTTTTCCACAATAACAGTGAGTATAACCAAATAAGTTAATATATCCATATGACTTTTTCAATATTCATATGACTTATACATAATTATAATATTGTAAAATATATGAATGTCTTCATCTATGAATTGATTGACTAACGACAGTTTGTTAGTTGACGACAATTTCTTGACGATGAGATTGTTGATAGCAACGAGGGGAGAGCTTTTTTTTCTTCAGTTTAGGACTGAGACTAGCCGACTTTAGATGTCATATCATTGTTTCTGTATTTGAATCTGACATTTTAATAAACTATCTTATAAAATATTAGTTATCCTTATCCTTTTATTTCACAATATTATAATATATTACTTTAACAAACAATAGCGATAACATTAACAATTGATAAGTGATTGAATGGTAGTAGGGGACACTCCTTAATTTCTTTCTCTTAGAAAATTGATCTTTTCTGTATTGTTTTCTCCTAACTCCTAGATACATGGAAGCTCTAAATATAAGCATTTAAACTCTGATCCTAATTAACCGACAAAAAAACAATTCTCTGTTAAATTGTAATTTGTGCGAGAGCCAAAATAATTTCTACATAAAAATTTATAATTGTTTATCGCATGCAAAATAAAAATCCAAGAAATCGAAACCATAGCTCGCAGTTACCACTTTGGTATAATTATTTTTTATGAAATTTTCTTTCCGTGTATATTTCAAATGAGATATGAAATCTTTCGAGTCTAAGTTACTGCTAAAGTACTAATTAAAATTGAACATCTGATAAATTGGCATATCATAAAAATACGTTTATGTTATGATTAATTGAACGGCAGAATTAAAACACTGCTCATTACGAGACAGGTGAAAGATACACGAAGTTGTTAAAGCTTTAAAGGGTGGTTTACATCAATGAGGTGTAACACAGACACATGTATTTTTATATGAATACGTATATCTTCTTTGCCACGTTCATAGTAGATAGAAGTAATTAAATTCAGCAGAGTGGAGCATAGTGAAGACATAGACGAGGCGAAGCTTTAACCTGTCATATCCGATTCAAGAGATCGAGTAAGTATTGAGAAATTTTTGTAGCAAAAATGATGTCTAAATTATTTCAAGTGTACTATCAAAGTATAAATGAATAACTTTAAAAAGTATCATATTTAAATGAATATTCTACATATTGTATTAAATCAGTAGTATATAGATTTTTTAAGAAAATGCAGTTGATTTTAGTTGAAATGACATGAATAGAACTCATAGCAAATTCAAGTTCAACTTTTATAGATAATCAGTACATTAGTATAAGCAAGTTCTAAGACACATCTTCATGAATTGATTAAAATCAGGCGATAACAATCAAATACAATTTTCATCCGCTGAGAGAAAAAATTATTTTATACATTCAAATCTTTAGATTACGAAACAAATAAGAAATCTAAAGATTTTCATTGTCACGTAAATTTTAATTTAAAGAAAAGTAATAATAATCTAATGCAATAATGCAGTTATCAAGAAAATCGTTTATTCTATTGGTATTACTCAATCAAGGAAAAAGAATGCCTCAAATTAAGAATGTCAGCAGACTGGAAAAACAGTTGAAGATTGATCAAAAAATTTAAATATTTTACTACAAAATTTATTTTAATTTTTTATTAAATTCAATTTTGCGATGAGGTTACTAATTTCATTAATTAATATACATTCATTTATAGTACATTTCGATTTGTAATTTCGAAATAAAATAAATAATTTAATCCCTGTAAGAATTAGCTCACTACAGAATTAATACTACATTTTCTGGATACAAAGAATGTTTTACTTGATACACTGCATTTTTTCTTAATTGATAACAATCATACCAGTTTATATATATATATATTTTATGCTATTAAAAGTCACGTATGATTATTATTTTTAATAAATTGAAATAAACATGTATTTGATCGTGATCTTTCCATGTAGTTTCAGAGTCTACTTGTGATTAAATTGAATAGTTGTACCACAAAAATAAAAAAAAATACCATATTATAATTTATTCTTTTTTAGATAAAATTATTTCTATTGATCTGCTTCCAATTATACTTTTTTTATTTTAAAAAAGTTATAAAATTTATTGGATAAAATTACAGCTATTTTTTCTCTCAATAGGAATCGGAAGGAGTGTAGGAGTAATAATTCATTATGGGGACAGAATATCTCGTCTCTTGAATCAGAGCAATTACACGTTTCTGGCTGGATGATTTTTGTTTAGCCGTGGAAGCGACTTACTCAGTAGCTTTGGCAAAAGGCATTCCAATGAAGGTAGGACTCAGGGTCTCGGTGTACATCTCCATTCCAGTTCCACGAAGATAGTCATTCTGCCAAGCCTGTATATCGGATGACTGATTCCAATCAATCAACCATGTCTCAACAACACGCGCGCTTAATATACATGTACAAGTGTGTGTCTTTATCCATAAGAATTTGATATTGAATTTATATCACCAATATTTTATTTTTATTCACCGATTGGTTGCTTAAAAATAAAACAATTTAGAAAATAAAACAACGTGTGACATAATTTATCGAGTTCCGTAATCTCTATTCTGTAAATTTTAGGCATTTAAAGTATAATTTTTAACCGACTTTACTCTGTTCACACATGCACAGATTAACATAATATTATTGTTGAATAATAATTTTACTGACCGTCTTGAAAGATCGCATAGCAAATAAGTTGGCCATCATTGTACTGAATCCTGGCGCCAAACATGATTGAGCAATAAAACCCAACTTAAGTTCCGCTAAGCAGATCACGTCGTCACCTTGTTTCCAGTCCCATGATGGAATATTTAAGAGATAGGCCTGATGAAAATCAAATCATAAATTAAATTAGACGTTCGTTAAAAAATTAATCTCAATTATAATTACTTTGAGCTTAATTATTTTTTTATGGAAAGAGTATTTTGGTATATTGTAGAATAAAAACTACATTAAAATTATTGTGCTTATACGATTAATCTTAATTTTTGTGTAATATCCAATATATGGTATTCTTGGCCCATTAATACCATACTTCTTGAAATAAACTATCTCATAAGATAGCCGAGAGACTATCCAAATAGTTAATTAACGGTATCCCAAAAAAGAAGTTTGAAACAATACTTCTTGCATCTATCTTAAATATTGTCTTTCTAGTATTGTTCAGAAATAGAACTTCTATACCAGTCCCTCTTCTCTGGTTAATATTATAACTCTAAAATCAGAGATCATAGCTATCCAGTATTGCTTTAACAGCGATTCGTTTGTAACAATATTTCAGATGGTTCCTACAAAAATTTTTTAGCCAGTGCACAACTCGAGCATCATTAACATGGTCACCAATGCCGGTCTAGTTATAAAATATAATTGGAATTATATTTTAACACAGAGCTAAGAGTACCATATATGAAAAAAATTTATTAATTTATCTTTGAACAAAAAAGTGTGAGTTTTTCTGAATTACAAGTCGTATAAAATTACATAGGGAATTTCGATTTTTAGAAGTGTGCTATCTCAATGCATTAATAGCGTTCTGAGTAAAACTTTGGATTGGGATCCGAAAAGGCTGCTCCTGATAAAGGTCTTATACAGATATGGACTACTAGATTAGGTCAGAATAGATGTGGTTACGGTTATTTGTGTGTGGATGAGACTCGATTAATTTAATACGGCTAAGATTGATGAGCTCTTCACGATACCGATAAAAACGGTCTAAAATAATTATAATTCATATATTATTGTGGATGATATGTATATTAAGTTCAAAAATAATGACAATGTTAATCAAATGGGTGACATCATATTAAAACACTTTAGAATGTAAGGTGCGCAATTCAGATGAGCTTTCTCTTTGAGTACTCCAATATGAATGATTTTTTCTAGACCTGACCTGGAATTTGTCAATACATTTTTTCCGGGTACGGTCTGATTAGCTTTACAGTAGTCCTTTTCAAAAACTACTCTTAGAAGGACCCGCACTGTAAATCTTAGTTTTCCGAAATGCCTTAGTTTAATGCGGATAAGTGTGTTAAATATGACGTCACCCATTTGATTAACATTTGAGTCACTTTTTACACACTTAAAAATGCGTTAAAAGTGACTACAATGTTAATCAAATGGGTGACGTCATATTTAACACACTTATCCGCATTAAAATAATGCATTTTGGAAAACTAAGATTTACAGTGCGTCACTTCCTACACACGCATAAACGCATAAAAAGTAATTATAATGTAACTCAAATGAGTATACTATGCGAAGAGAATTTTTCACTAAATATAAATGCAAAAATGACAAGCCCACATTGTTGAAATTTATAAGTAAAAATATTTCTATTCGATGGTAAATTTTGAGTTCTTATAAGTAAACTTGAGACTTAAAAGGTGTCTTAGTGAAAGAATTACTTAAGATAACTCGAAAGTTACTTACAACAACCCAAAATTCACTGTTGAACAGAAATATTTTTACTTCTAAATTTCGAAACGTGGGCTTGTCATTTTCGCACTTACATTTAGTGAAAAAATTATCTGCGTGTACAAATTCATGTGAATAAAGATCATGCACATTTAATGTATTTAATGTTACATTCCTTATGTGAGCTATTGCATTTTGTAGTCACTTCTTACGCATTTTAAGATGTGTTAAATGCTATAATTTGTTGATGGAAATTTAATATTGAACGCACTTCATGCGAATTATTTAAACACACTCTGAAAATCTTAAATTCGCAGTGTAATATCATATTTACTTGCTTTTAATGACTTAAAAAAATATACTTAGATTTAGAATATAGATGAAATAAATATATGAATTTTTTACTAAAGGTTCAACATAATCTCGATCAATTATAATAATACTCATTATTGCATAAAATTCACAACAAAACAATATATAAGTATCACTAAGTTATAGTTATAACTGTAGAGATAAGAGAATTTTGACTTAATATAATAACTGTCAAATCAAATGGTACTGATGATGGTCTACAAATTCTCTTTCCATATCTAAATGTATTTATTTTTTATTCCCCTAATTTTATTTAATACCATTCTTAATCATAATGACCGAAAATGATGACAACAAACACTAAAATTTTATAAAAGCCTTTGGAATTAAATTTTGATGAGTTTTAAGTCTTTTTAAATTTGATATCAATTATAATTGAATATAAAATTTGTAGCAATTCCCCACACTTTCTTTATTGTTTAAAATGACTTAAAAATTTCCCATAGGCTTTGATAAAATTCATTTTAAGGATGTGATATATTTACAATGGTATTCTCGAAAAAAATATCATTTTTAACGGAGTACTATACTAAGTATACCTTATTGTGGTACTGCATCAATTGAATAATAACACGAATATCGTCCGAATAATTTTTTATGGAGATTACTCTCATAATATTGGCAGCATCTTCAGCATCCGGATCTTGACAGTATTTATTAGCAAGGACCAAACATGCGTCTGCTTCATGTACCTAGAATTTTCGTTTTGTATAATTTTATGTTGCTTTTGATTTCAATTACCTGTACGACCCATATATGAATTTATTGGTTTATCAGAATAAAAATAATTAATCGCTAATTAAACTCGATGAATCGATTTAAAATATTATTATGTTTTAAGGGAAAAAAGAAAAGAGTATAATTTTGTCGTCATATTTATTACAAGTTTTCTTATGACAAAAATTAAAGTAACGTGTTCTAATAAAAATTAGACTGACACAATTTTTGTTCGTAATATGCTAAGCACTGTTTACCCCAACTATGATGAAACCTAACAAAGGTCGAAAGCAGTACTTGTGGTAAATTGCCAAAGGCTAAATAACCTTTGTATTCTCTACATAATATATATATATATATATATATATATATATATATATATATATATATATATAGTTATGTATGTAAATTTGGTATAGAAGTAAACATGTAAGATATGAATATGTATGCATTATGTAAAAATCTAATACTACGCTTTGCAACTGCTAACATACTACCAAGTACGTAATTGAAACGCGAAGCACTATCACATTCGAGCATGCCAACTAGACTAGACTACTAGAAGAGTGAAAAATAGACGAAAAAATTAACATTAGGTGTTACTCAATATTATTATATATTTATACATTAAGAAAATAAAAGCCTCAAAATTTGCTCTTGCTCTATCTAGAGTATGAGTAAAAGTTACTCCACAGTGATAAACTTAGAGGGGCAATAATCTGAAGAAGAATATACAAAAGAGTATTTTTTTATTTTCATTTCATCTCAAATCATTTACAATAATGGAGTAATTTTTAACCAAAAATTATTTTCCGTGTAAAAAAGAATGAGTATAGGAGATGAAGTAAGATAAATGTTTCTACAAACATGGAATTGCATTTTTCTATTTCATTACATCACTGTTGCCATCCTTTTAAATAACGTTCGATGAAAAATAAGAAAGAAAAAGAGAAAAAATAGTTACGAGCACTTACCCACTTAGTTTCACAGCAGGTAGTATGGATCTATCATTTCTATCAGACAGAGTAGAAGTGTTCTTACGACTACTCTGATGTTATAAATCTCTTAAAGATTCGCTTTTAAATTTAAAGAAAAGAAATGATTTACTAGTAACTACGAACTAGTGAGCTAGTATTTTTATAAACCGAAAATTGTAACAAGATAAATGTAATAATTTAACGATTTTTCGTTAAAAAAAATATCAATTATTTCATAAATGTGTCTCAAAACAGACAACAAACTGTAAGTTTGGACGATGGTATGAGAAAAAATAGTATGTTGGCCATGGGAGCAAAGTCAGATATCCTTACCTGGGTATTTGCCACCTTCTTCCTCAGCTCAAGATGTAATTTTACATCCAGATCAGAATATTATACTTTGCTTCCTTGGTTAGCAATGTACTATCTTCATTAAAAATAAATTTTCAATAAATACCAAATATTTCTCTTGTTTTTCTTTTAAATTCATATCTTCTGAAAGTAATTGTAAAATTTCACGTTTTTATGTTTAAATATTTCGCATGGAAAATAAATATATGTTAAAAATATATTTTCAACCAAAAGTTATATTTCTACCCCTATACTTTATCAAACATATTCATGATCAATTTATTTTTATATCTAAGTAATAGTATTAAAAAATTTAATGTAACGCCCAAAAAACATATATTTTGAAATTATACTTTTTTTACGGGATTCATTACAAATCTAAAACTCATATCAAGATGAGTCATGTTTTTTTGGTTAAACAAATTCTCTTATTTATTTTATTTATTTTACGTTTCACTTACTTTATTTTGTTGAAAGCATAACTTGATAATTCTACTTGCAGTAATATTTTAAGCTGAAGCACATTAAAATTCTATAAATAAAAATTAAATGAAATACCATTTTTTTAAGTATAAAAATTACAATAAAACTTCACTTGTATATAATTAATAGTTATTTGCAGATAAATCTGCTATAAATGAATTTGATAATAATCTTTCTAAAAACATGTGAAAATTTCAATTAATTTCCAGGAGATACTTGGTATATACTTTTTACTGTCTACAATGTTTCATTTCATTTATAAATATAAAAGGCTCATTTTTAACTAATAAATTGGAAATAATAACTTGATTTCAGACTATTAATGATTAAATGTTTACACAATTTTATCTTCTAAATTTTAAATAATTATGCAAAAATTATATTAGACGATTTGAGAGACAAGCATAAAAATTCACAATAATGAATAATTATACTAATAATACTTAAATTATTTAGATGATAGCTAATGATTCAATAAGAATTTATCTCTTATATATGATACTGTAGGGTAAATAGTAATAAGAAAATAGAAACATTAATACTAAAACTACAAATGACAATCATACTTTGAGTTTATAAGTTTGGAGATTTTTCTCATACAGATTAACTATACAAGGTGATTCTTGCACAGCGAGTACATCAGCATGTTGTAAAAATAAAATAGAATACAAAATTCGTTTACAGAAACTTCATTGGACAAATATTATCTTAATTATGAAGACATATTCTTTTATTTTCATTCAAATAAATAGATTAATTCAATAAGATGACAATTATAGTACCTAATATGAATTTGGAAGAAATCGAGTTATATTATGGACATTAAACAAAAAAATTTTGATACGATAAATAAAAATTATTTATAAACAAATAAATTCTAAAAACGATTGATAAAAAGGTCAGAATGTAGTTAAATAGAACATTTCGTATCAATCAAGAGAGTTAAATAGGGTGTTTCTTTCACGAGAAAAATTTTGGCCCGAACTGAAAAAATTTTTTCCAGTAAAATATTGGCGATTTCAGCTTCATTCACGAGATATTTATTCAGCGAAATAATTGATTTTTAAATTAAAAAATATTAGTACTTTTCAGTGATCTGGGTGTGATCCGAAAGTTCCACACTACTAACTTCCCAGTGGAAAGAATGATAAAATTTAGCTAGTTCACTATTTCTTTCAGTTTTTTGATTCTACATAAAAAATGGCTTGACCGATTTCGCTGAAAATCTAATCAGTTCTAACTTGCTTAATTATGTGTCGAATGCAATTGGTCCCACATCGATATCACTTTTTGTTCTCGAGATAATTGAGGCGAAAAATAATTCCGAACGTACATACGAACAAAATTCGGGATTCGCAAAATCGGACCCATTACAATAACTTCCCACTGGGAAGTCAAAAAAATATGACGTCGCTAATTTTTTTGGCTGGGAATTAATCCATTAAATTCAGCGCATTTTTTTCTACAAAATGAGCCCGGTTTGACTTGTGCCACGAAATTTTTCATTAACCCTGTTTTCTGCTGCACATTGACCGAACTACTAGATGTTTATTAAATGTTGCGAACAGTTTGTTTTTTTTTGTCATAATAATATAACAAAACTTTCGATTTTATTTTCAGTTTAGAGGTTAGTAAATTGAGAAATTTTGCCCTGCAGAGGACAATATGCATGTTGGCATGTGCACAAACAATTTTTTCTTACTACTTCGGTCGAAAGTACGTATTTTGATCCCTGGTTTCAGAGAAGAAAATCTAATTTTTATTCCTTGGTCAAGCTGTTCGCGCGCCATCTAGCATAGCGGGAGTAAAAATTTAGCCGCGTACACCGACACACAATACATACGTAAAAATATCCCCTCTATAATACTACCACTAGAACCCGCGACGCGTGCATCCATAACTTCGACGTTTACTTGCAATGATATAACCTCACATTTTGTTCACACTCATTAAACGCTAATTTTAATTAATAAATTATACTCATAGAGTTGTAATCAATAAAGTGTAGTGAAAGTAAAGTAAAGTATAAGAAGTAAAAAAATGCATGCATAATTACTTTTAAAAAATGACTATTACTATCTAAGCTATAATTGATAAAATTATCTCAGTTGTTATAAAAATATTTGTAATTGTAATACGAATAAATAGCCATGTTTAAAATGTAAGCTCTATTTGTAGAAGTATTTGATTTGATGCCTGCCCCCGACCAGCAACACTCGCTTCGCTCATGCTGCAAATGTCGGGGCAGGCATCAATATCTATTATCTAACACATGTCATTGTTCCGTACTTTCGACCGGGTAGCAAGAAAAATAGTATACATTACACGGGAAGAAAGTTTGAGAGCCCTGCCCTGCGCGCCATCTTGCCCTCGGCTTCGCCTCGGACAAGATGGTGCGCAGGGAAGGAAACTCAAACTTTCTTCCCTTGTAGTGTAAAATACTATTTTCATTCTATAGTAGAACCAAAAAAATATTCAAATATATATGAGGAAAATACGTTAGGCTTTATTTCTTTTGAACAGGGAGTGAAATCCGAAATTTACGTGGGGATATGAAAACATTGTTTGATTAATTCTGACAATTTCCTGATTTTTCTGGTTGTTTTTAATTCTATTTTTGCATAATAATTCCTTTGTTTAATACTGTTTTTTATGACCATATTTTCCGCAATATGCTGATGTATTCACTGAGCATGAATTTTATAGCACCCTGTATTAATGCATGTTTATTTTTAATGAGTCTTTGGTTGATATCAATATTGAGTCCGAATAATAGCGAAAAATTCCGTGCTTATCAGGAGTTATAGTAAATATATATGGCAAAAAATGAATGGTAAATCACGTTTAACTGGTAATAAACGTTTAATGGAATCAGATGAATGGAATGTATCATATCAATCAATAATTTTGGTTAGAACAATAACTTATAGTACAGTGACTTATTCGGAAATCAATAAAGTAAGGTATATAGTGAAGATATGTTACATAAATTCATAGACACATATTTATCATTTAATAATATAAATATATATATTTTTCCAGTTAAACCATTGATAATAGAGTGCAAACTAAGTGGTAAATGTGAAACTCACCTTGACTCGTTGCAGATCAATAGGGTTCATAATTGTGCCCTGAAAGAACTCCACTGTAGTAAAGTGCCGTTTGAATAGCCCCTCCAACTCGAGATCTGGTGGCTTCCTATTTGGTCCGACATATTATAATTTATAGTTAAATTTTCACCTTTATTAATTGCACTCCGCATAGATCCATCCGGTAGAATTAATTATAAATATAGTAATAGTAATAGTATTATTAATAGCAGTTGTGGTAATAATAATAATTAAAATTATATAAAAGCTTTAAATAAATAATTTTAAATAATAATTTGTCTTACTGCCTTTGTTGTATTTGTATTCAATCCAAAGCTTCAATACAATTATTGTAAATCAATCGTATACATGTAGTAAACGCGGAAAGTTAAAACACCATTTTGAAAATACATCAGTTTGAAGAACAGTTTAAATAAGAAAAGTATTTTGTAATGAAACTTATGCAACAATACAAGAGTAATTAAACAAAAAGTCTTAACTTTCCGAGTTCGCTTTTGAGTGTTTATCTAAATATTTAATGATTAAATATGTACTACCAGCACATGAACCTGCAGAAATAAAAATTCAATACAGCATACCATGCATCATAGTTCTGCAAATGTTTGCTTCTCTACGTGCTATGTATATATAAAATATAACTAATTAGTATCAAATTTACATTGGCCGAGTTGTATTTTCATTCATATGAAGGTCAATAAACCTATTTAAAAACATAGACCTGCGTGGGTTTGAGATTTCATAAATTCAAAAAACGCGCCTTGATTATTTATCTATCGTAATGAAATAATGATAACGAAAAATTTTTTCATGTGACGTATATATGCTGGAAATAGAAAGCATAATTTTTACATACTTATGTATGATTTTTCTTTTTAAAGAATACAAAGATAGGGTTTTCTTTTTCATTTTATCTTTAATGAACCTCTGCAGTATTTTAACATTTAATGAACTTTATATTTCAATGCTACGCTGATAAACAGATTAATACGATTCATAAAATGACTTTTTAGAGGGGTAAATCCATATAAAGATAACTTTATTGCTTGGAAAATTTTACATTCTTTTGAACCCTCTAATTTTATTAAGTATATTGAAAGAGTGGGGAGTTTAAAATATTTACGTAACTATTATTCTTTTCTTCACCTTCTAATCCTTCATTTTTTTACCGACTATAAATAATCAAATGGATGAGATTTAAGTGTACATCATATTTCCAAAACTTCATTTACTATTTATACAAACTATTTATATTTATGCTTTCTGTACCCAACATATATTCACACAATATGCATATATTCTTATTCAAAATGACGAACTCTATAAAATATTTTATTTCAAAGTGATCCATAATATAAATTTAATAAAATGATTATCACAATTTATAAATTAAATTTTAACTTCGAATGCTCTCCTATGTTCCCTTACATCTCACTATAAGCCTAGTAATTGAGATTTTAAGACAGTTGATTCATTATTAATAATTTTTATTATCAATTACTATTTACCATACCATTATTAATGATAGGTTTGTTTCTCAGCTTTATTGCTCTTAGATTCTCATAATATTTTTCCTTAGCAGGCCTATGTAATTACATAGTAGCAAGTAGCACTTCAATCTAAATTAAAAGTTGTATTGTTTTGATAACATAATAAAAATATTAACTGCAATATAGGATAAAAAATTTCTCTACAATAGCGCGTAATAAATTGAGCATTTAAAATAATAAATTGAAGTCATAGCTGCTAGAAAAGAAGTTAATTGAACTTTAGTTTTTTTGTTTTGTTTTCAAATATCAATATTTTTACTAGTGTCATATACAGATTGCTAATATGGTTAAACGATAAACAGTGCAATTGACTTGGAAGAATCGATCCATCAAGTTGCCCCCAGGTGTAAATAGTAATTGTCCTATAAGTAAAAAGAATGCAAAATAATTGTGATAATGAATATGGAGGTGAGTCTCTGTTTGACGTGTAGAATTTTCGTGTATTCTTGAGGGTACCTTAACACGTTCTAAATCCACTGCATTCATCATAGTTCCCTGAAAAAATTCCACCGTTGTGTAATGTCTCTTCAAAAGACCTTCCAGTTCAAGATCAGGCTCTTTTCTGGAAGCATAGGCAACTTTTCATGATAAGCTGACAATGAGGACAGAATAAAATAAGAATCTTTCAAACTTTCTCTTTTTTACGAATATTTATACTCCCAATATGTTATTATGAACAAGTACCATTTACTTATCTTGTACTTAAAAATAATTCATGTTCTAATTACTATTACCTTTTAAATTAGTAAATTAGGGATGACAATAAATTCAATTTTCGCATTCACCTAATAATCCTATTAATTTTTACATTCACTGAGAGAAATATATAGTTGCATGTACTATTAATAGTTTAGTTTAGTTAGGACTCAACTATTTCTTGTCCAATACGAAATTAACTCAAGATTGTAAATTCAACTATGAGACTCAACTATTAATTTATTAGAGTATCCAATTAATGATTTGATCTTTGTTCTGAAGAGTGCCTTCTCAGTAAAGTATAATTAATTACTTAAAAAGAAAAACTCAAATTTGTTGTTGCAATCGTTTAGATAATTTTTTGATGTGAAAAATAAAAACAATCGAAACAGTTTCTGTTAATGTTATAACCTGAATCCAAGTATTTTTTTTTATTAATAAAAACCTTAATAACAAGCGGTGGAAGCAAGGGAATAGATGTAACAGGAACACCGAAGAAGAAGAAAGTAAGCAGGTAAAGAGAAGAAAAAAATCAATAATAAAAAATAGAGACGCCAGGAAAAGGATCTACGTAAAGGCAGCTCAGGTAAAAACCATGTGGGGGACATAGAGCTTCAGAGCGCATGCTAGATAGACACAGGTGAATCCTGCGTGGGGCACTAGAGCCAAAAGATGCGCCGGACACTGACCAAAAGGAGAAGGGAAAAATTGCGTAGATGATTGGAGGAAATTAGGGCTAGGCCTAAATAATTAAATTAATTAAAACTTTGGATTGGAGAACGCCAATCGAGAAGCTTCCAAAATATGCGCGAAAAGCACCTTAAAAAGCGCAGACTTGGACACAAGAGACACTCTCTTCCAAATTTTTACTGGGCACGGTGCAAATCCGAACTCAGCTTGATATAATTTTTCAAACTCAGAATACTTTTAAATTAATTCTTGATTCAATTCTAAAATTCAAAAATAAATTTTTGGGCTTGAAATATACTCATTTGAGATTAAATAATCCTAAGTGGATTTTCTCAAATAAATTGCATATTTAAATTCATTTTTATTTATCTCTTAACAAATATTATTAAAACAAAAATCGGGAGTGTAAGAAGAAAGAAGATCAGTCAACTAGAAGGCTTTAGCGAAGATTTCCAACGAGCCAATGACAACCTTTCACCAAGACAGCCATAAAACCATAAACTCATCTCAACAACGCCGAAAGACGCCGCACCAACGCCGAGAGCCGAGAATCGAAGCGTCAACCAAACCAAGCAACTGCAGCCTTTCACGCGTATACAACCTTCTGCTACCTAGCTACCAGTTAGCCAAGCTGTAAAATAATTTAGTGAGTAAAAAGATGACAGAAATTAAATAAAGAATTAACTATCATAAAAACAAATCTCTATCTTTCTTTGAGCAAATTTAAAGCACTAAGAACCTTTCCTCTTTCTTTAATTCTCCATCTAAAGTATATTCTGCGTGGTCTCCGCACCCATGGTGAGTAGAGGACGATTCCCCTCCGTTTAATTGAATTTTTAGCAAAATTGCTCGAGTGATTTTTTACATAGAATAAAAAAAGCTAAAAATAGGTGAACTAACCAATTTCCCCTCACGATCTGAATTTCTAACTTCGTCCCGAGTAGAATTTATTTTAGGCATGCCTAAATACCTATTGGACCCTTATTGGGAATTAAATGGGTTAGCGTAAATGAGGCATTCCCAACCTATGCCTGATCAATTTGTTTTTTGGATGAAATAAAAGTTACCCAATTTCGCACTACCCAATAACTTCTCAATTACAACCTTATAAACATAACTGAAACGATGTCTTAGTTCGTCATTTATTACGAAATGTTTATCAGATCCGCAGCAGGCTAACAAAAATTACATCTAAATTAGGCACATATTACATTAGCCTCATTAAAATGTTTGAAGAACGAATCAAAAATTTGTCAGGATGAATTCGAAATAAATTTGTTACAATATAAAAGATCTACATTAAATCAAGTATTTTCTTTAAATTCCAATAACGAAGTATTTTAATAATATGAATATTTTCAGATATCCTGTTTTCTTTAAATAATAATTAATTGTTTTTATTAAAGCTTAACTGGATTATGTTGACTAGAAATATATTATAGTTTCAGAAAAAATAAATAATTTAAAGGTATGAAAATATTGAAATCATTAACATTATTTATTATTGAGATTTAAAGTAAATAATGATTTATATGATTCTTTTAAACAATGATACATATGGATTCGTTCATATTAATATAATAGTAAACATTTTTTAATTGAGTGAATAGCCGAGCGAGTAAAGGCACTGGTCTTAGATGCGAGCAAGCTAGCGATCGTAGGTTCGTCGAATCCCTCAAGGAACAAATTTCAATATATGTATTTTCGCGGAAATTTCATTAAAATATGTTTAATAATTAGTATTTCAACAATATAAAATCATAAAAAATGAGATAATCATTCGAATTGGGTGCGAACTCTTTCCCAAAAATAAATTCTACTCGGGTTGTTTCTTCCTACTGGAAAGTTTGTCGTATGAGTCTCCCGGATCGTATCCAGATCGTTGTTTTTTTTTTTTTGTTATTTTGAATTATACTTTAAAATATAATAAGTAAATGTTAAAAATAGATATTGAATACATTCGTTTAAATTTGTACATGTGTTTTGACTTCGGCGACTCTATTCTATCAACGACTTAGCATTTTTCTCCCCATTGAATAACTTTAAGAATAAATGTCTATCCTGTCTGGATGCTCCGAAAACACAGGTTTTTTGCGTGTATTAGTTTTAATAACCGATTAAGATACATTAGAATGAGAATATTCTACAGAAAAAGAACAACGCAGTGACCAATTATTTACAGTAGCTATTGAGAATTAATCTTTAGTGTAACTCGAGTACAATTTTTACAGAAACCTCGTTGATGCTGGGAAAACTGCAAACGCTGATGAATGTTATGTAGCAACTCAGAAGTAACGCTGATTAGCGATCATATTTCCACATCACATGATTGTGAATTACGTCTAGTAAATATTTCAGGCAATCACTGTATGTGAACACCATAATCTTCAGACAATTCAATATTTCTACTGAAAATCAGACTACTTGTGGTGCAGTTACCAATCTTGGAAAACTTAAAACTTTCCAATAACTTTCTACTTATCAGTAAACTCTTCTTAAAAACCATCATTGCACTCAAGATAATTTATAGACAATTCATACACGGAGAAAAAATTCCAATAAAAATTACCGTGCTCAGCACAACAATCCACGCGCAAATGTCAATTCCCTAAAAAATTAAGACAACCTTCAAAGAAAAATTAGTAATCCTTTTAAAATTTTTATTATAGATTCAATATTTATTAAGAAGAGTAAAAGTAAAAATTCTTATGCAGCACGGTAATATTCGATAAATATTAATTTTTATTCAAACTTTAAACAAAAATTAGTAAGTGACTAGAAAAAAATGAGAATCTGTATATAATTTATTATGATCCGTGTGGTAGGAAAAATTCGGGTGCTCTCCTATAATTTTTTCTATTCTCGAGAGTTTCCGTGCTGGGTCGGGAATCTTCGAATTATCGGTCCAACACAATCTTTCTTTGTATTGTAAGACCGTTCACACAATCAAAAACATAAGCCGTAAAACGTACAATTTAAGACGTACGCGTGCATACTAACATCATAATAAGTTAAAAATTGGTTTGTACGCATGCGTACATCTTACGGCTTTTGTTTTTGATTGTGTGAACACCCTCAGTGCTATAGTTACTTTTTCCATATTGTAAACAAAGATGACATTCATATTTTTCGTTACGATTCAATATTGGCGGCAACACGTTATATCTTAACAATTTATGATAAGCTTAAACGGATTGACGCGGTGGACTCATGGGTAAGCGTCAGCTTGACACACGATGGGTCGCGGGTTCGAGTCCCGGCCGAGACAAAAGTCATTTATATGATTTTTCTCGGGCCACCGTGAGCGGGAGAGGAAGATCTCTTCGGAGAGCCGGGTGGTTGTATCGACGACACAGGTTTTCTGCGTAAGATCCCGATCGTAGGGATAGGGGGGGGGGCAGTATTGTAAAACGTGTGCCGTATTTCATTCCAACGAATTAATTAGTTAAGAAAGTTAATTATCAATGAACCTAATTTATTTATTTATTTGTTTATATAACCAAAAAAATTATCACTAAACTTAAATAAAATTGTTTGTCGGTTACGTAGTTATCACAGCTAACGTTACTAAATTTTCAGGTGCTGTGGAACACTAAATTTTCTGGTGCTGCCAAAGTAATTTTCAAAAAACTGAATGATACATTTTCTTATGTAACTTATAATTTTTGTATGTTGATCATTACTTTTTACTTTTCAGTAAGTTTGAACTCACATTCTTGAGCAGCACGGTAATTTTTGTATGGATTTTTAAATAAAAATTAACGGAATTTTTTCTCCGTGTAGCTTCAGTTATCAATGAACTTAATACAGCCAATTCAGCAATGATACTCTATCATCATATTATTACCTCATATTTAATTCATTTCAAATTTTCTAGCTACTCGAAATCAGAACACCATGTCTTATCAAATCTTTTTAATAACGTTATTAAGAACGAATGAATATTTAAAATCAATTTTAGAAAAACTTCTATGTATTATTTGAATTCAAAGTATTTTAATGAGAAGGCACGCTCAATACATGTTAATATGAACTCCAACATCAATTATTTTTGTAATTAAACTGCATATTTATAAGTTGTTACTGTAAAAGCTGACATGGAAACCTGTATGTTAATATAATAAAAAAATAAAATATTGAGTTTTCAGCAACAGAAATGCTTGAAGTGGACCTGGAGTGCAGTCTTCATCAATGACATTAAATACTTACTCCAATTTACTTTTTAGCCGTTTAATTATATACATATTGAAAGATATATATTATTTCCAGAAATCATAATATTACCCATGTTTAAGTATTTTATATACTCATAAACATACCTATGTAAAAAGACGACCTCAACATCGACATCTTCACGATCTTCGTGTAAAAAATCCTTGAGGAAGTGTGAAACAGACTCGTAGGTGATGTGGCCGCACACAACAATGTGTCTGCCAACATAATAAATTTATTAGCTTTTTCCTACATCAAATATAAAATTATTTATTAAAACAATCAATTTATTCTTTTCTACTTTTATTTCAAGCCATTAACTAATAATAAACTAATCAAAGTCGATATTTACGGGCTAGCAATTTTTTTTATCGTGATTGTTATTTGTTGTAGTGATTTTCCCAAATGGATATCAATTATTTGATTTTTTTCTTCAATGTAAAAAAAAAAAAAAATAAAGTGATGAAATTCAATTGTATACACCTATAGAAGGATTTATTTGAAACAAACAGACTGATTTATTTAATGCAAACAATTAGTTTGGATCACTAAATAAGTATATATCACGTATTAATATACTATTAATTATAAATACCTATCTTTAATGTATACCTTAAAATGTATCCTTCATTTTTTATATTCTAATAATGCTTCCTGTACTAATAAAAACGAGATATATATAATTTCTCAAAAATAATCGATTTTATTGACCGATTTGAAAAGTTGAATAATCCTAAATCAACTAATCAAAATAATTATCTCTATACAATCTCAGTCGATGTGGTAAATACTTGTTTCATCCTTTTCTTAAATAATTTTTAAAAAATTTATTCGATTCGAATAAATCCTTCTACTAGTGAGTTAATGGGTCTAATTTTCACAGTGACAAGCATACAAATTGAACAAACAACTTGAATTATTGCCAGCACGCAATATCAGTTACGAAGACAAAGGGCTTATATAAATAATAATAATAATAATAATAATAATAATAATAAATAAATAAATAAATAAGTATTACAGAATCCTATAATTAGTGTCAAGATGCGGGTGATATACTCAATCAAATGGCTAAAAACTTACCAAAAATTTATCAATTGTAATTGGAGTTTAATCGCATTTAGCTGACTTTAAATAGGATTCAAACTAATTCTACATTTATTTACAATTATGTTAACTATTATAAATATACGTTAATTTTTTTTAATTTGCAAAAAACAAATAGTATTGTAATAATCAAGGCAAACGGGATTAATTGGTGAAGGTGCAGGCTTGTTTGTGTATTTTTTTTCGATTATTGTTTTGATGTGTATCCAAAAAAATATTTGTCAAGCATTGATCAATTTTATCTACTTTTAAAAAAGGATAGTTTTCAATATCTGATACTGATTTCTTAACTCCTACAGATACACGTTAATATGTAAAAAGTATATTCATTTTTACTTTGTAGCCTTTTAGAATAATTTACTTTCTTCCATCAATGATATTGATAATGTAGTTAATTTCGTGTCAATACTACGTATTTAATTGGTAAAGAAATCAGTACAAAATAACTAACTCTGTTTTATTCATGTATCTAGTTGTAAAACTTTTGATTCTAAGTAGTTTAATTCTCTGAAAGTGTTAAATGTAAGAATAAAAATAAATAAAATGGCTAGTGAAAGAAATTAAATAATCAGATAGTTTTTTTTTCTTTAAATAACTCAAAATTATAATTTTCAAAAACATTTTTTGAAGAAAAAAAAAACAGAATAGTATATTGTGTACCAAAAGAAGAAAACTTTAATGCTCCGTAAAAAAAATTTTTTCCGTCTTCAACTTGAAAAGAAGTTACATAAATTATTATGTTTTATTTTGACTTTCAATTTTACATATACGATTTACGATCACACTACGATAAAAAGTTCATTTAAATTTAGAGTACAGAAAAATGAATCTTTCTGTCTTGCAACAAATAACAATGTTCGTTTGCACGTGCATACAAATAGATTTGCTATGTTAAGCAAAACAGAAATAACACTTTACTGACTTCTTTGCGGTAAAAAAAATGAAAATTTCCATAAAAGTGTAATGGAAATAATAATCATGTTATAATAGAATCGATAAAATATTTCTTTATTGAATTGAAATTTTTTTTCTATATTCAAGGGATCAAATAATCTACCCGTAATTGTAAATAAAACAGATTAAAGACAAAAAAGTCAATAAATAAAACAAAATAAAAATGTGACATTTTGATTTATATGAGACTTCGAGTGGTAATGAATGATTAAAGGTGAAAATTGAATGTTTGTGTATGTAAATGAACTTTTGCTGTTCATAATAAGAGTATTCATGATATCGATAAATAACATCGTGATTGTAACGTCATGTAAACAAAAAATATGCGAATCACGACAGATTAATTTTATTTATGACATTTATATTTTGCATTATCCTTAAAAGCGATAAACAAATTGCAATGCCAATTTGCTACATTTCCTTGCAGTACTCTTTTAAATATATTGTAGAGAAAAACAATCCAAATTTTCACATTGTAAAATTTAATTAAATTATTGATTCATATTTTAATAAAAATTGCTAGAATTTTTTTAGTAATGCGATAAATGAAACATGCACTTTAAAAAATGTACTATTTGTGAAGTGTAGCAATCAGCATTGTATATGCAAAAGCGTATGCATTATAACTTGTATACTTTACTTAATATTTTTTAACAAATATATTCGGTTTATGACAGTTTGTATTTCATTAATAATATCAAAACCATTTTAGTTTTCGGTTAAAAATATTTAAAAATTACAAGAAACGAGCTCAATTTTTAAATCGCTGTTCAATTATTCAACTATTATACGTAAAAAAAAATGAAAATCCTGAATTACACATTACAATTATCACACTGCTTACTATGTATTGAACTCAGTAAATTCACACTCTGTACTTTCTTTGTCAAATAAATATTAACAAATTAGATAATTATTAATGATATATAACGGACACGAAGTCGATCATAGAATTTACTGACTAAAACACCAAGGATAACATTTAACTGACGTATAACAGTGGGAGTTTTTAAATGCATTTAATGCAAAGGTTGCATGCTGGATATTAAAAGGGCTTTTTGCACTTAGAGACAAACATAACTTTGTATGGATTTCTTTATTAAACTTATGTTGGTATCCTAAAATGATAGTATTTTTTTAGTCATAAATTGTTAACATTAATTGTATCAATCTATCAATCATCATTTCAGCTCTCCTTTATTCGATTATTTTGCAAATACCAACTAAATAAAAATAATAAAAGATTAAAAAATCATGTTGATTTATTGGTGAAATAACAAATAAACTATTCCATTTATCTGTATGTCTTTTCAATTGAAAATATAATCATAATATATACTAAGTAACGAAGGAATAAAATTATTTAAATGTTTATTTGACAATCTTATATAGATAGTTGACAATCGAAATTTAGTTATAAAAAATGTTAGTTTTTTTATGGAACAAAATACAATTGAACGAGAAACTGCCCATTGTGAAATTACATTTGTCTCAAGTGCAGTTCATGTGAACAAACAAGCTAACACCAGTTGCTAGGTGTAGGTTGATAGTTTCTGTGGTTGTGTAAGGATTTAAAGTGAACAGAAGGCTAAATGAATTTATGAGAGAGATAAAGACTTTAATCAAACAAAATAAAAATAATTCATTAAGATGTGAATTAGTTATCAAAAATTAACTCGAATATTGGTATTTTTGGATTACAGGAATCTTTTTTACCTTAAGTCTTGAGAAGATATTTTTAAAAATTAGTGACATTTTAATAAAAATTCTAATAATAATTGAGATTCAAGTACTACTCCGCTGATTATAGTGATAAACTAAGGGTGACATTTAAAGTAAAAATATCTCATTTGGAATTATATTCAAAAACAAAACCAGAATAAAAATAGAAAAGAAAAAAAAGAAAGCTCTCTCAAGGATATATAGGAATTCGTAAGTGATTGTGGTAGTTATTTGTGGGAAGCTAGTTGGTTTGTGTCTCACCTGCGACCTCGCTCGTTCTTCAAAGTGCCGCCGTACTTGTTTCGCGTCCCGATCAGGTCAATTATCTCGGGGATACAACTGGCGAATATGGCCTACACCACGTGATAGAACAGAACACAACACTCGCATCAATATACATTTGAGAGGATTTTATTATTTAAATAGTCGTCGTGTATCAGTCTTGTGACAGTCTTTTATCGTCAGGAATATTTACAATATTTTTGATTACTTAGTAACAGAAGGATCATTACAGGAATAGACATTTTTAAAACTTATATAAATATAACATTGAGGAGTGAAAGAGACAACTTTGGCTTGACGAATAGGGTTTTATGTGGCCCATAGAAACACGATCACAGTGTGATACCTATGAGCCTCATGGCCCATTTTTATTAATAATCATTTTGCTTGTTATTATCTTAAAATATCGGGATTTATCAGCTATCACCTAAAACCTACTCAAGTATCTAAGCCTAACATTACTACTTGTGCCGCCATGTCTACCCTATGATACAAATATACAACAAAAAGTATTTGAGACTAACGAATAATCGTATGACTGATCTACTAATTTATTAATCAGGTTGTGAAAAAGTTTGATTAGGCCAAATCGTAAAAAATATTTTTAAATTCATGGAAGGAATTAAACGGTCATCCTGGCGTCTTGTCGTTGTAACGCGTCGCTCACGCACTGCTGTCCCGTTCTTTAATCAATCAATCACTTTTTTAATTGGAAGAAAAATTTTTATATTCACGGATTTCCAAAATTATTCTTTTTTATTATTGTGAATTTATTCTCGCACACCTACGCATGTTATTAGTTCTAGTGATACAATTTCTCCGATAATCATTCTTATTTATGATGAGAAAAATAAAAAGTTTATATTACAAATATTAAAAATTTTCAGAAATTTTTTTATCACTGTTTCTGCATTTGAATACTTGTATCAGAGCTCGTAAATTTTAATATATTTTATTATTTGATGAATTTATAATTTATTAAAATAATTCATACATTTAGCAAATCTATTAATAAAAAGTTTTGTCGAAAATTCTTATCCTCGATAGGGTAAAACAATCAAAAAATGCACTTTACATAACCATTTTATCGAAAGTATTTTATTGAAATTAAATTAACAAAAAGATGTAATTTAAACGTAACAATATTTTGAAA